TGCATTCCCGGCGCCGGGGACGTTTCGTGGAAATACATCTCACCCCCATCCCTCCCGTAGGTATAAGTAAATGCCATGCAAGATGTCAGTTCGTCTTGAGCAGTGGTCATAGAAGTTGGTGAATTATCGTGCTGAGCTATGTCTGCTGTGTCTTTTAAATCGAAATTTGGTGGGGTTTGGTGGTCAGATGATAAAAGTTTTGTATATAAACCTAAGAAGAAGAGTTTAAGTGGAAAAAACAATGATAGCAGATCTTGACAAGAAATAAGGAAAACCAAAGTGTAATATGGAAAAGGACTGACCAAGGGACACAAGTACGTTGTTGTCAAGAACAGGGGTTTCTCAATGAGCTGCAGACAAGCCAAATTTTCCTGGCTTTTGTAGCAAGTTGTTCATAATAAATTGTTGTAAGATTGTATGATTTTTAAAGAAATAAAATTAATCTCTTAAACCGGTGACAAGTTGAAGGGGAGATACAACTAGCCGCAGGTACAACTAGACGTAGGTACCAGTAGGCGTAGGTACAACTAGTCGTAGGTACAAGTAGTCGTAGGTACAAGTAGTCGTAGGTACAAGTAGTCGTAGGTACAAGTAGTCGTAGGTACAAGTAGTCGTAGGTACAAGTAGTCGTAGGTACAAGTAGACGCAGACGTATGAGGTACAAGTAGACGGTGACGTTCCGACTAGTTGTACCTGTAGATTTTTAAGAGGTACAACTAGACGTAGAGACAACTAGACGTAGAGACAACTAGACGTCCGCACCATCGTCAAGTTGTCTCTACAGCTTTGGACGGGGTACAACTAGACGCCTGTCACCAAAATGCAGCAGGTACAACTAGACGCCGGTACAAGTAGACATCGCCCCATAAGGACGATAGCAGATACCTTATCTTGAATAAGTGTAGGTAGGTCATATTGTAAGGGAGAGATGGTTTTATTGTGTGAATTGTTAATTGATAAGGTTTTAGAGTTACTATTGTAGATCTGATACAATTGTAGGCATTGCCAACTGGGAAGCTTGCTGGAGGTGTTTGCCCTCAGTAGAGAGCAATCAGATGATTAGGCTAAGTGGCAATAGAATGGGGTCAGTTGGCCAGTTGGTTCAGCTCCAACCTAGGAGGATTAAAAAATTAAGGAGAGGACACGTGAATAGGGATATACATGTTGCGGTGAAGCCAGCTTAAGCAGAACACTAGAGGGGTACGCGGAGCCGTAGAGTGGTAAAAAGCCACAGCTATAAGTGCTATAATAGAGAGATAGGGAAAACGCGACACACGCCGTTTCGAATTAAAATTGCCCCTAAATTTAAACACTTGTAAAGATCAAATTTGAATGAATTGTCTTGGACATATGATTTTTTTATTACGTTTTGAAATAAATATGATGTATCGATACAAATAATCAATTTCTTCGTGTTCCTTAAGAGTTTCTCGAAATAAAAATAATATATTTACCAATATTTCATCGGAGTATAAAAAAAAGAACTGTAGGCCTATTAACTTTTTAATTTTTACAGTCTTTAAAACAAGCTTATTAGGTTTAGTTTTTAAATTAATAATCCAATTTGGATGGTGAAATAAATATTAAATTAGCATTCCTTATTACTTTCTCGAATTTTTAATATCATTTTTTACTAGTTTTAAGGGATTTATGTGATAGGCAAGTAATTTTAAATAAGCGAAGTCAAGAGAAAATTCAAAGCGGTGTTCCCTTTTATTACACTCTCAGCCTTTCCAATTGAATTACAAACATAATAAGTAAAACATTTTCTAAGACATTAAATGTTTGATTTTTTAATGTCATATTGAGCCATATTATGTGAGCTTGATGTTAAGAAATATCAAATAAACTTTGAGTAAAAAGTGGAATCTTTCAGTTCACGCATCCTCTGAAGTCACAGTGTGTACATATCACTATTTTATAGTTTAAAAACTTATTTGAATTATTTTTATGCAAAAAATGTTCAAATACTTAACTTTATGACTTGAGTACAGTATACAATTATGAATGATATAATCAATACTAACACAATATTAGCAGGGCAAAAAATAAAAACATTCATCCCTCAACCGTTATATTTAGTTAAAAACACATCATTGAATTTACTATTCGATCATGAATACATTCTTCCTCTTAATTAGATTTCTAATATTGCGATTAGAATTAATTTAAGTTCCTAATTTTGTTCACATGTAGTCTTGAATAAAAAATCTTTTAAATAATTTACTAAGATCAGTAACTAAATCTCTTAACATTATAAAACCAACATTAAAACGGCCCTTATTGGTTGGTGTGTTCGGTTGCTGGTTTTGTTAGCCTTAAAAATGTTATTATGTATGTTTCTGAACACAATGCCTCCCCCCCCCCTCCCCCTGCTGTACGTGCTGTCGGGCTGGCTTCAACGAAACTCAAGCGTGTCTTCTCCTTAATGTTTAATCCTCCTAGGCTCCGACGGGAAGGCTTTCGAGGGTAATGTCTGTTTTTTGGGAGAGAGAGAGAGAGAGAGAGAGAGTATAATTTGGTTTTGTTCATTCAAAGAAACTTGGGAGTCTTGGTTTTGAGGGGAGTTCGTTCAGTGGTCTGTCTGAGTAAAAAGGAGGAAGTTAATTGTCGTGGCTCTCACATTTTAAATTGCAATACACTTATTTGTAGGGTTGTTGTAAAGGTCAGAGATGAATCCAAATAAAGGTTTCGTTGTTATAAAAATCTACGACTTGACTTAAGAGAGATAAGATATAATAATGATGTCTATTGTCTAATCACACAAAGTGTAGTTATGTTGAAATTGGGATGAATCGCATTACAACAAATTTATGAGTACCTAAGCAAATAAGTACTTATTTTTTGGACTGGTAATTATTTCATATTAATACACAATGCTAACTACAATAGTTGATTAAAATTATTCCAAGGGAACTTTTTCATAAAAATTAAACATTTACTTATAACATTTACTTGTAACTTATTTGAAATTCCGATGTTATTTTGACGCCATTCTATGTACGCATGTATAAAAAATGAATAAAGTTATTTTGAATCTTGAATCTTATTACTCTTATAGAGAAATCATAAACTGGTGTTGTTTGATTGTTTATTGATGTATTTTGATCAAATTTGACAATTGAATTTATTTTCATACGATAGGCCTACTATTAAAATTTTACCAAAAAACACCTTTTCTTTCTTTGATCAGCAAACCTAATTACTCAATAAACTAGGGATCGGCCAATCCTCAATACTTTGCTTTATTGAACTTGATACCGATTCTGAAAAAAGGAGGTTAATTATGAAGCAAAACTCGACTGACGTTGCAGGTTGTAAAGAGTGGCACATCAAAGTTTATTTGGAATACTATGAAGTCAGCGAAAATAAATAATTCTAATCTTCTTCGCTTTATAATAAAATACCCCACCACAGCAAATCTGCCAACCAAGCAAATTTCCATTTGTCTTAATTGAGTTTCTATTAAATCTATTTAAGTACCTAACATTAAGTTTAACGAGTACCTAGGTTTAGTGCCCCAAGGAAACTAATAAAGCGTGGTTTTTAGTAAAATATTAATAGCTTAGTATAAAATAAATCAATTTGCCAAGTTTGATCAAAATATACCTATCCATAAACAAGCAAACTACAACATTTTATAATATTCTCCATAAGAATAACATGAAAATTTTTAATTTACAATTTTTTGAATTTTCTCCGTTACCAATAACAGTCCCGGGTAAATCGGGAAATAAATTGGTCCCGGGTCTAGGTCTTACCGTGCCACCTATGGTAATAGCTACTTCCCTATAGGGAAATTCGCTAATACCAAAGAGTGACACCAAGACCCTAAAGATTCAAAGTTATAACCTCGAAACCGGTAGCTGCTCACTACAAAAAAATTCTAAGGATTACAGACTGAATCAGGTAGTTTTATACCATTTTAATATTCAAGAAGTGATCCTCGGGCAAAGAACATCAATATGAAGCTAAGTTTCATTAGTTATTTTTATACAGTATATGCGGAATCAATGCCCCGTCTTATTTATATTTAACTGTTCGGCTAATTCAGAGCTTCACGGTGACTATAAGAGACGGCTGTTTAGCGATATATTTTTATTTTTATCGTTATATGTTGTTGTTCCTGAAACAGCTGTCGTGCCTTTGTGTTGCTACCAATGGTGAATTGTTTGATTGTTGATTGCTGTGCGTAGTGAATTATTGTTAAAAAATTGCCAAAATGTGTGACGATCTCCGTTCGAGTGATATTAGAGAACTTTAATGTGATTCTTTAAGTTATTTAAGTGATATTGATGATGACATTATTGAAGATGACTTTGATATTACATTTTGAGTTTTTCACTCTTAAGCAATATGGAACATTCTATGTAGATGTACAAATGCTTATGCAAACAAAAAAATGCAGTGAATATTTTAAGCTGTGGAGTTTTTTTTTTTTTCAATTTAATTAAATAAAATATGTTAAAATTTATGTATTGAAGTACTATATTTTTCCTTATAGGCTAACCTAATCTATGCAACCTTAATCAATAGCAATGCAGTTATTTTTATTGTATAATGATTAAATAACATGTTCTTTTATTCATAAGGGTAGCGAGAAGCATATATCTATGTATTATGATGTGAATTTATTATCAGGTATCAGTATTGAGTGCGGAATTGAGAATCAAAACCAAAGTTCGGGAATAGGAATAAGTATCGGAATCGACTGATTCTGGAATTGGCCCATCACTACGTTAAACTTATTGTTATTTTCATAAGGAATAAGTTTGACATGTTTGAGGAAATAGTCCAGTAAATATCCAATCAGACGAATGGAAATTTGCTTGGTCTGCAGGTTTGCTGCTGAGGTTTTATTTATACATTTATAAACTATTTAACTAATTGTGCATCATCAAAAAGAATTACACTTATAAGATAGGACAATTTATGCAAGGAAGGTACACCTGTAAAAGATCAAAACAAACCATTAATTATTTAATCATAAACTAACTTACCCTTGACCAAGAGAAGCCAAAGTAGCTGGGGCCCCTGTTAGTTTCTGCAAGCGCTCTGCGTCTTTCATCAGTTGCACACGGGCAGACTGTGAGGGTTTTTTCACTTCTACAACTTGTCTTGTTTGGCCAAACTGTTTTTGACCTTGATTAAACAATTGTGTCAAACGTCTTTGATCTTTAGCCACTTGCTTCATTGTTGGCTTACCAACTGAGGCGGAAAAACTCCGGCCAGCGTAGAAAACCTGAAACAGTCCCGTTAAAAAGGATAGTAGGTGGGTTTTTTAAATTTCCGAACAGTTATTTTGATTTGAAGTAAAGACAGTATGGACATGGATGATGTTTCCATTTTTAAAGCCATCAGTTTTTATAGTCCGCGCGCGATATCTTTTCACTTGGGACTTGCACAACCTGGCAACGCTGCAGGGCTCGCTACCCCATCCTATACCTGACATGTTCCCCAACACATAATACAAGACGCGGGTGCTCGCCTCGGCGGTGCTACGTTGCCGATACAAAATTCACACGGAACACAAAAAATCCCAAATGAAAAGATATCGCGCGCGGACTATAGCACAGGTTCAATACTATGACCCTTATTGCTTTCTAACACTTGGCTGGCTTTCCTTAATTAACAGAGTGTGCCAGTAGTGTCTGTCTCTGTGCTGATGGCATGGATTTAAAAATATTCACTACGGTAATTCAACTTCTGACATGGATACTACTTTTTTTGTTTTCTTTAACTGTACAACAACAACGTTTGACCCTATATGAAAAATCTCCATTGTATGCTGGGCTGAGATTGTACAATGTGCTTCCGCCGTGCTATAAGTCACTAAGCAAAACCAAATTTAAAGAGACAATAGATAGTTTACTTATTGACAAGGCTTTTTACTTAATTGAAGATTTTTACAGAACTTCAATTTAGAACATGTTTTTATTGTTTTCATTTTAAGCGTTTTTAAGTTAAGTTTAAATGTTAAATGTTTCATGTATGGATATAATTTTGACAATGCACCTATTCTAAACGTTAAGCACAAAACATGTATGGAATGTTTTGTGCAAATAAAGTATGTCTTGTCTATGTCTAGTCTATGTCTATATGACATTAATTTATTATCAAATAATATGATGATGATCAAGTATAAAGATCATGTTATGTAATTTTAAGAATATTCTTTGCATATTTACACTTGTTGTTTATTTAATTTTATTTAGGCCTATTTGTTTTCTTTTTACAGCTATTTCAATATTAAAATTTTAATAGTGATCTAATCATGTTAAATAGATACAAGCCAAATTTGTTACTGTTTAAGAAGTAGGAAAAGGAAATATATTTTTGTACGGATAAAAGTTCACACTGACTCAAGATAAGGATGGAAAAGACATTAGTATTATAAGAAATGCTTGTATTACAAATTTATTGTACGTACCAAGTTGATAAATAAATTAAAAAATCAAATAAAAAATAATAATGTAGTTACCCACGTTGAATGAGTCTGCCTGTAGATGGGAATATTATAGCAAGACAGGGGGGAGACCTAATAATTATATTATAGCTAGTCATGCTAATTAAATTTGTGATGTGTCAATTCTCGTTGGGATTGGTATCGAGAATCGATCGTCAAAAGTTTATTCCGATACCGATACCTTGCGCCTTATATACTTATACCCTGCAATAGCCTGCGTGATCGGAAAATTACCACTATTGACGTTTCCATGACCGCTGGAGACGATGATGATGTCTAAATGGCCACGGGAGACGATGATAATGTCTACACAGCCGAAAATTTTTAATGAATTTGCCGCGACAACGGAAGATGATGATGTTCACACAACCGGTGATTGTGATATTCATTCAGTTTGCCTGACTGACTCCTTTAGTTATAATACAATTTTCTTTTTGATTTTTATTAGTTAGATCTCCATTTAACTTTAAAATGGTGGTTATTAAATGTGTTTAGAATGGTTTAAACTGAGCAATTGGCTAGTAAGACTTTTTCATTGCTACATAATTTTGTTCTTCACTTGAAAAACACCCTATTACCTCAAAAATACTTTTTAGAAGGATATAAAGACAGGGATTGGGAGTAGTATAACCAATCCGTTCGGAAAATTTGGTAAAATTGTAAAAAAATTGAATTGGTATCAACGCATCACTAAATAAAATATTATAGCTGGAGAAAGACTACTTCTCTGCGTATTGGCTAGTTAAAATATTACATGATACCACGTGGACCATTCATTTTTTTATATTTTATTTGAAGTGTGAAATGCAGTTACGCTACACACCTCAGACCTTGAGGGTAGTGTAACACTCACCCTTGCACAACACATAGTTAAATTTTCTTCTGAATCGTGTATAGGCGAAATGGCGTATATTGGGACAGTGTAAAAACAGGGACTACCCGTAATAAATGTTTCGTCCACTGACAAAATACAGCCGACATTGATATTTTCAATTTTCATGAACAAAATTCTTAATGTTGTAACAATTATTTTTCTGGATTACATACAGATGACACAATGCAGTAAAAATGTGCAGTAAAGAAAACATTGAACAGTTTTTTCTCTGTATATAGTGCATTTATTAGTACATTTTAATCATACAGAATTTCATTTAATTGTTTTCATAAGTATTTAACCAGAAAAGGCAATCAACAGGCAATCGTTACTTGATATATCAATTAAAAAGTTAATCAATGTTCAACTCAGCTTGTTTACTACTTCACCCTACATTCTGTACAACCATGTGCTATGGGATTGGCAATCACAGTTTATTAACATACCTCATTTTTTCCAAGCACTTTGTTCTTTAGTTGAGATAAACTACCTCCGGATGGAGCTTGCAATTCAGATCTCCTGGAAAATTTACTGTATTCTTGCTTTACGTGGTACACGCAATAATCACACTTGCTTAGATTGACTATCATAGTGCAAGATTCACCATTCTTCTTCCTGAAAATAATAAAATAAAGGTTATATATACATGTAGGTATATCATGTGTGATGTTGTATTTTCCAAATAAATTTGGTATTTAGAGACAAATTAATATGAATAAAAAGAAAAAATAAGAATAATGTGGATGAGACTTATTAAAATGAGGTGTATTTGATGGGGCTTTACCTTTAAAATTTTTGAGTTGCCCCCAAAATAACCCATTTTTGGTTTTCAGACGAAATTGGGATACAGTAGAACCTCGATTATCCGGGATAATGGGAGGGAGGGAAACCAAGGATAACTGAAAACCACGGTTAATCCAACAAGCCATAAACATGTATTACAAACTGATAAAAACGCCTCATAGTACCTACTAACTACATAAATGGAGGTTAATGTGATGATTAATTTGCATTTTACATGATCAAAGTACAATTAGTATTGTGCAATCGTGATATGTTAAGTCATTAACCTTGATACAGAAATAAAAACTGTTACGTTTGAACACGCTTGTTAACTTAAACAAAACAAAAATTGCTAAACACTGTACAGCAATAAATCACGTTAAGAACAAAACAAAAGAAAGTCTAGACTAGTAAGCTACTTTTACCGTAGTCATCATTGGCTACATGATGATTCAGAACAGAGGGATGTGGATAAAAACATTAGATAACAACTCATAAAACAGCATAAAATCATAGTGCTTAAGTCGTGAAGATAATAAAAACAGTATGTAAAATAAGATAAAGATAACAATGATGTAAAAAGTCCCTTATTATTTCTCTTTGTTCTATTCTTTCTTTGGTTTCTCTTCATCCACACATTCAACAAGTTGCCATGGTTACTAATGAATAAATCACCCAATCATAAACTGTTGTGACACAGCAAGCGCACAGCAGACAGTTGTGTAAGGAGCAGAAGATTGTCAGGGCAAGCGAATAGCTTGACCTTGAAGCACTCGATGGCCATTTCTTTGTTTTGCTTCCGTTTATTTTTTTTTTAATGAACTGTGATGTTTCAAAAACAATAATGGGGTTACCTACTGCATATAAAAATGGTCAAAAATAGTTAAATATACAGTGCATTTCAATTCAACATATTAGACTGAAGAAATCAAATTTATAAAATTTTCTTGTGATTTTTTGTGGTTTTTGTGGTTATGTAACATAATTTAACAGGCATCTACTAACCACAGATGATCCGTTGCCCGGTTGATTCGCCCCCGGTTAATCAAGGTTCTACTGGACCAACAAAATAGAGCTCTTTTATGCTATTATAGAGGTGTGCAAAGTTTGGTTTTCCTTGTGTAACCCTTGAAGAAGTTAAAACGGTGTCTATATTTTGCCCAGCCCTGTATATTTAATGAGGACATAAAATATACTATAGTTTGCAATTTGGAATCCCTTCAGTTTTATATTTCTTTAAATGATTGTATCATATAAAAGTAAAGACTAAGAACGGTATCTCACAGCCAACATATTTTATAGGCGGCTCAATCTGGTAGCAATTATAACACAAGGAAAAAATACTGTATATCCATAGTGAGTGTATCCATAGAGAAAGATAATACCTAGGTTCGGGCCACTAGATAATACCTAGGTTTGGGCCCACTATTTTATGTTTAGGTGATACTGAAGGCAATATTTCTGTAGCAAACTTGGTAAAAGACACGTCATATAAATAAATATATATCTTATTTACTTACCTTGCTCGACATGTACCCATGTCCTTTGATTGACCCCAAACCATGACTTGGTCCGCGTTAGACACAGACAGAGATGCAATCTGATTTGATGGTCTGAAACCCAAGAATTAGCATGAATTGGCTATGCTGTGGATACACGTTATGTTTAGGTCTACCAAGACCAACTTTAGATGTCAAGTTTGGCATAAACTAATTTTTTATATGAGAAGATCAAGTATTAAAAATCACTTAAGTTTCTTGTAAAAAAGAATAATCTGTTATATAGAAAACACTGTTTTACAGGACATACAAACATAACGAAATTAGATTTTTGTCAGTAGCACAAGTGCAAACAGTAACAACTATACATTTATGGCCAGCATGTGGTGCAATATGTACATACCAGGAACCATTTCTTCTTTAAGGGAATTCCAAAATTACGCATCCACACTCACAAGCCCTGAATCCTGACGGGTATTAAATAGCATTAACCAGCAATTAATGATGGCTGTGAAAACCCCGGAACGTGAAATTGAAGAATTTAAGAAAATTATGGAATCTGTATGAATTAAAGTGGACTCAACCTGACGGCCATTGTTTTCTAAAATAGTCCAGCATCTATAGGGGGTTGAGTATGCACTGAAAGTGTAACTCTTTTTGACTTTTGATTGTTGTTGGGGGCATCTTGGAGATGACAAAAACCGATGTTGTCGCCCTCCCAGCAGGTGCACAACTTAGGGGAGAAGGGGGTAAGGTGCTCTGAGACACGTTCTAGAAAATCGCTCATATCTCGTAAACTAGACACGATAGAAACAAGCTCTAAATGGAATTGTATTACCAACTTCATCCACTTTAAAAAAATATCAAGGAAAAATCCCGTATCTATGATATAATTTGAGCTATTTAACAATTTATTTAAAAATCTGAATTAAAAGCCATAAATAACGTTAAAATATGCATGAAAACCCGTTAAAACAACAAACAGTACAGTTTTTCATCGTGCATAATATGTTTATTGTTTATCAACAGTCAAAAGTCAAAAAGAGTTACACTTTCAGTGCATACTCAACCCCCTATAGATGCTGGACTATAAATAACGGACATCCAAAGAGAGTAGCCAACTACATTTCTTAAATGGCAAGAGTTAACAAACACTTAAAATTATTAAAATTTATAATTTACACAAAACAAATGAGCAATGCTAATTTCAAAAACATCCGTTTATTATCCTTTAACATGTTCGCTACCGAGCGACGCACATTTGCGTCGGTCCGGACACTCCTACAGACTAAAAGGAATGATCATGACGTTGCTTACAGACCAAATGATATAGGAATAACATTGCCGACAGACCAAAAGAGAAATATCGTTTAAATGGACTAATTGACTTCATATTAACCAAGTGAATTAGTAAGCAATAAATATTGTTTTTATTTATCGTTTTGAGCAAATTTTATAACGCCGCATATATGCGTCGGTCAGTCTATTTAATGAAATCCAGTTAAAAAGATTACATTTTCGTTTCAATAGACCAGGCGACGCACGTAAGCGTCGTTGTAAATTTGGTTGTTTCAAGCTTTTACACAAACAAATAAAGAAACTCCACTAAACACTAGCCAAAACTGCAAAGGTTATAACATTTACATCTGTTCTGTGATGTCGGGGAATACACAATGTAAACAACAATGTTGCCAACTGTTGTGTGACGTAATCAATCATCATATCCACAGACCAAGCGACGCACATTTGCGGCAGATATCCTTCTAGACCGATACGATAAAATCAGGGCTTTAAAATAGACCGTTGCTAAGTAATACACTGATTATTAACATTGAACACCGACGCAACTGTGCGTCGTTAGTCTATTTCAATGTGACCAGCTGACGCAAATATGCGGGTCTATTATGAGAAACGAGTCGACGCACAATTGCGTCGCTGGTCTATGCGAATGTAAATTCCATATAATTGCGGTAGCGAACGTGTTAAAAGAGAGATCACTCTGACTTCAAAACCTTTCATCCCAACCCCAATTACCCCAAATTGCTTTTAAGTTTTATAATGTTCCCCCATCTTTCCTATAACTCTTCTTTTGATAGATTTTTGTAGGATTTTATTTACTTAAGGCACTTTTTATATGCATTTCTGATAGCTTGTTTGATTTAAAACTCACCCCCTGTTTTCCAGAGGAGATGGATTCAGAATGGCTACTACAACATGAGTGTTTGTCTTCCATAGTGCTTGGTAAGCTTTTCCAAACAGGAGCACATTCACTGTTTTAACATCTTCTTTAAGGTCAGAGAGAGACCAGCTTAGATATGTCTTCCCCTGAAATGTACAAAATGTGAAAACTCCAATGATAATTCTCAATCAAATAAAAATTGAAATTAAAAAGCATTCTAAATTGTAATTCATCTTTGATTAAGCAGGAAAGGATTTATTTTTTTAATAAGGAAAAGTAACAAAACAATTATTCTTCAAATTTTATTTTCTGACAGCAGAAAAATCTACCACCAAAGGTTTTTGGTTTGATTAAGATTTACAGCTGAGTTGAGAACAAAATAATTTTAATCTATACGACAATAGTTTTTTAAACCTAGGCTAATCAATAATAAAAGGCATTTAGGCCCTAATCAAATCATTGTGAAAATCCTAGTGTTGGGCATTGGCCTATGCTCAATAGGGTGGGGCGAAAAAACTCAAGTTGCGAAATTGAAGTTGCCTTTCTTCTTCTTTTATTATGACCATTACAATTATATAACTCTTTACATTTGCAGTTGAAAATATGTCTTACCCCAAACTACCCCTTTTTTTTTTGGGGGGGGGGTGAAAAATCACATACAGCAAAAACTTCCCTTTTTGGTCATTCAAAAATTCCTTGAATACTATCATTTTATCTCGTTTAATACAAAAAATAACAGGGCAGTGGGACTTTTGGGACACACAATTAGGTTAATTTAATAAATTTCCCTTGATATCCTACTAGTTTATTATACAATTGGTCTTTTTTGTACCTGTTTACTCTGTACTTGTACTTGGGTTAGGAGCTACTCTGCATTTTCATTTGCTTTTAAAATTGGTCATGAGTGATCTAGATTGTAGTGTGGCTCTGGTGTATCGTACATCAAAGTACAGAGTAAACAGGTACAACAAAATATTCAGAAAAAGACAAAACCAAAGAAAGTAATCAATCATACCAATTGTAAAAAATTATGTAAATATCAAACATGCTCTTATTGGTTGGATGATGGGAAGGGTGCGGGTGGAACTTGCAAGTGCAACTTCCTCCACGTGGTGAGTTCTGGATTTTTTATATATTATTACCTTATCAATCGAGTAACTGCACAATTGGCTCGCAACTCAAAATAAACAAATGTTTTGCCACACATGATTTTTTTAAACATTTAAAATATATCAAAAAGTCATAATTTTTGCTTAATTTTCATGGAATTGCGCAATAGGGAAAAATACTTCAAGAAGTCAAATAATTTACATTACAATTTTTCACAGCTTAAAATAAAATAAAATTGCTATGTGAATCTTACAATTTTAGAATTTTTTTGTTTTTTAACTATTTTTTTATGTTAGGCCAATTGCGCAATTGGAAGATGAACTCCGATTTTGAAATTTTTGTTTTGTTTTTCTTGTATGTACCAATCACAACTTTTCCGCACTTTTGCAACTTCAATTTCACAGCTTGAGTTTTTTCGCACCACCCTAATGCTCAAGTGTAACATTTAATCCTTTGTTTAAGAAGTAGTTTCCCTTGATATCCTACTAGTTTATTATTTTTTTTAAAGTTTTAACAGAAACACTCATGGGAAAACTAACATGTAATTGTGTACAATAACAAAATGTTGTCATTTTTAAACTAAAAAAACATTTTAACTGTAGGCCTACCTTAACCATCCCCCGCCACATTTAAACTGTCAAATTAAAACATATTCTTGGCATCTTATTTCTAAGATTATTAATGTTTTAAGGTAGGCCTACTGTAATTTATATATTTGATGTTTAGGCTATATCTTCTCATGCCACCTCAACTATTTAGTAAAAAATATTATTCTTCTTTCTTAGGGGAAGAACACATCACCATCAACAGAGGTGAACAAAGGCCGCCAACCTCTTAAAAAAAATATATATATATATATATATCATACATTTTCGTAAATAAAACTACACATAAAACTCAAGATTTCTTTTCTTACCTTTTGGGATGTCTTGATTGTTTTTGAAACAATGACACCGGCAATGACCCAATCACTTGTCTTATCATTGTTGGCAATGTGATTTTCTAGTCTATTAAAGGTCACTGCTGTCTTCCCTTGCATTTTTTCTCTTAAAGTCTGGGATGATATAAGAGGAGTGCTGTAAAAATATTTGAAACACTGTTAAACAAGAAAAGGATTGCATCTGTTGTTTTATGTTAAAAATATATAAACATTAAATTAATAAAAAAGTGACAAAGTAATATCTTAAAATGATTGTTTATACTTGACTTGAGAACCAACAGATTTTAACAATGTACGAGGGACATTTTTTAAGTTTGGGCTGTTTGCGTATAGCTCCGTGGATCATGTACGCTATAACGAGGTTCCTTGCCATTTGGCATCACTTGTGAACAGAATGACACCATTTGCAGCTATGTAGCTGACGTGTATGCTTTGCTGTGTTTTTAAAATTTGTTAAATTTTTAAATCTCCAGCCGCGTGAGATATAAAGTCAGTGATGTTTTTTGATTACAAGAAATACATCTAATGTCGACATTTATTGCCAGATGATTGAAGGTTATGGCACCGATGCAATGCTAGAGGGGAAGTGTAGAATTAATTGGGCTAGGGAGTTTAAAAATGGCTGTGAAAATGTTCCGCATTATAGCCTACCCTCACTCATTGCACTTGGGCCATAACCTTCAATCATCTGGTGATGAATGTCGGCAACAGATATGTTTCTTGTAATTTTTAAAAATTATTTTATTTAAATTTAAAAAAAACGTATCACTGACCTAATCTTGCACACGGCGGGAGATTCAACAATTTGAATATTTTTTTTAACACAGCGAAGCGTACATGTCAGCTACAGAACTGCAAATGGTGTAATTCAGTTCACAAATGATGTCAGTAAGCAGCCAGGAGCCTCGTTGTGGCGTATTTGCGAACCACGGAGCAATACGCAAAAATGGTCCTTACTTAATCAACCCTCATAATAAAAAAAAAAAAAAATGTTAAGCCATTTTGCGCATACTGATGACCTAAATCAAGCAGGACTACATTTTCTAAAAAATCTCAGACCTTTTGATGAGTTTTAGGACAAGAGCAAAATAAAAAAAACTAATGAGCACAAATGTTGGATTAATAAGTATTTTGATATACGAATATAGATTTTAACCAAATATACTTATATACCTACATTATACGAATACCAAAGTAAGGATCCGTGTAAACATCTCCACTTGATTTATGTCCTGACGTGGAGGGAGAGGGAATTAGAGGAAGACTTGGTGCCAACAAAGGTTTATTGGACTTCCACGAGGTGTTCTTTGTGGGCTCTACTTCAGTGGTTGGCCTACTTTTTGTCATTAATTGTTTGATGTTGCGACCACAATCAGAGTACTTTTGGTCAGAGAAATATTTATTGTCTTCATCATCTGAAGAGTCTGTATCGCCATCATGAATCTCGCTTCTTTCAGATTGTTTTTTACCATTTTTTTCTTTCTTGAAAAGTTCACTCAAAGAAGGTACCGGTAAGTTAGTAGAAAGTGTATTATGTGATTCTGCATCCTTAAATATGTCAATGTCATAGGAAACTACACGATCATTATCTCTGACTGGAAGATTCTGTGTTGAGCTGGCAGAGTTATTTTCTATTCCAGAATCAAGTAGAGCTGACAGCTCGTCTAGCTCGTTTGCATTTGCTGCATCGGCATCCACTGAAAAATAGTTATCAAATTGTCAAACATTAGATAGCCTGGGGTAAAAATACAAGAACGTGCTAAAGGAGAGCCTGTTAGGTGCTTTACTAATTTAAGCAATAACTCCACAAAGTATGTATGAACAGCAGTGTACGTTCCCAGAGGCCAAGTCTTTAGTAGGATTGAGTCACAAGAATGGGATGTTACTTATGGGGTTTTGAAATTTAAAATGTGTAAACCCTTAAAACATGGAAATGTTCAATTTTCATTGCAACCAAAAAGTAAAGCTTAAAAAAGCATTTCATGTTGTCATTTAAGCATTGTTGTGCAATTAAAGGTTACGGAGGAAAAGAAAACTGTCGTAGTTTGCTTGTTCACATATTGATAGAATTTGGCAAATTTACTTTCATCCTATACTAGTAAAATATTGTAAAAAACACTATTTTACCTTCCATTAGCAAACCTAAGAACTTGATGAATCTAATGTTATTTAAATGGGGAATAAATCTAGTTCTTGTTTATGGAAATAATGGGGTAAAAACCCTATCAGACATATTTAAATTATCTTAGTACGGTATTGTAAATAATTTATGAAAATTAGTAGGCTATACAATTGTATCAAGTCATCATGTATTTTTTACAAAAAAATGTAATCATTAGGCCCTACAATATATTTTTTTCATTTCAAAATGGCGGCCTGTTTTAACTTAACCCTTCCTGGGCTATGGACGGATATATCCATCAATCTCCGTTTACGATCCGGGCTAGATACGGATATTTACTTCCCGAGAAATTTCTTATCTGGGCTAAAGACGGGTCTTTTCCGTCCAAAAACACAAATTGGTATACATTGGTACACAAAAAAACATTACACTGCATTACAAAGGGTTATTTTGTTTTTTGTGGTTGGTAATAATAATTTCTATAGCTGTTTCAGCTATTATTTTACGCCATAAAGTGAGTGAATATTGGGGACTTCAGTTCGCACAAGGATATTATTGAGTGAAGTTTACATATGTATTTTTGTGCTTTATTGAGCTCATGTGACCAATCTAAATGATCAGAATCAGAAATTTGAAGATGTTGTTGAGATGTTAAATTAAAGTACTGTAGAACACCGGTTAACCGATACCCGGTTTAACCGAAACGGTTCCATAAAACAATACAGGGCTAAAATATAAGTAATACGTACCGGTAATGTAAAATGCTTTAGTAACTTCAGTTGTTTGTTAGTTTAAAGTATTTTTTAACCCATTTTAACATTTCTGTAGCTGAAATAAAATACTTATTATAAAGACATTGAATACAATTCATTTTTTCAACTCTCCTTGGTAACTTAATGCATAAGCATTTTGCATTTTTAGCATATGACGGGTTAACCAACAAAATGGTTATCCGAAACAGCTCTTCCCCCTTTATTTCCGTTAACCGGGGTTCTACTGTGAGGAGGATTTTATACTTTGACTGGCAATGTAAATAATTATATGGAATGTGATGGATATAATGAGCCTGAAGAACAGTCTTTACGTAGCCTAGTCTTGATAATTGGGGATGTTTGGGGGGTAATTGGGGATGAGGACATGGGACTGAACTGAGTGGTTTAGATTTACTTCAGAATTATAGATACAATGTTAGGGATAAAAAATAAAACAAGAAAATACATCAAGAAAGAAGGAATAAGGTTGAGGTATACAGTATACGTCTGCGGCCCACAAGAATATTCAAGATATTGTTTAGGGGTCGTCTTCATATTTTGTGATTGTTGGTAAGGGCGGCAGACTGGTTTTATCTGTCCACCCAATGTTTTTTATGAGCCTAAGACAGATAGGCTATATCCGTCAAGTAAAATTTTATTTTCATCATAACTTTTTTACAGATTTAGTTCAACAGCGCTAAGTAAAATCTTTTCATGATCCATGAATTATTTCAAACAAAATATATAGGTACCTACTGTACCAAACATAACCACATTAGTTTTTAAATTTTGGCAACAAATAATTAAGCTCCAGTCTTTATTTAATTTAGCCCTGGAAGGATTAAGTTAGGCTAATTACAAAAAATAATAATAATAATTTCAAACAGGGTAAATTTGATTTGATTTTATTCTTATTAGGTTATTTAGGTTAGGCTAAATATTAGATTACGTTGGGTTATGTTAGGTTAGGCCTACCAATAAAATGGGTAACTTAGGCTAAGTTATTGTTGTAAACATGTCCCAACATAACCCAACCCAACCTAGCCTAGGTTTGGTCATTTTGGCGCTAACTAGATTTTCCTACACTTTTCGAGCCGTATCTCCGTTAATATCCATCGGATCTTGAACATTCGGTAGGCCTAGTTGAGTTATGACTACCTCCAGTCAACACTCTAAAAAATATAGGCTATAGGCCTAAGTTCTTTATATTATTTTTTTTTTTGCAGAGGATACACGTCCATTACCGGACATGGATTAGGTGTCCAGCAGTTAATGTCATAACCTGATAACATCTTCCAGCCCAACCGAACATTGCAGGCCGATTTTTCAAGAACTTGGTATCTTGTCGGTCTACAGCCAGTTTATACTGAACACCTTAGTCCTTCTGAGAAACAACTTAAGTAACTTCTCAACTAGAAGCATGCAGCACAATTATGGGACCCGCGGGGCTGGTGACCTTGACCTACCTCGTTGTCGGCTTCGCCACACACTTCAGTCATACCCCTCAATAGCGATAAAACTATTTAACACACTGCCGACTAATATCCGAGCTCTTGACCCAAAGCGATTCAAATCCGCACTTCGCCAGAGCCTACTCAGCAGGCCCTTGTACTCTTTAAAAGAACTTTTTGACGAGCCACTCGCTTTCCCCAAAAAAGTCACATCCGTCAGTTCAGTTTAATTGTATATATGTAATATAGTGTAAAAATCTAACGACGCAATCTATCCAACATTTGTTGGGCAACAATGAAGAGATCAAGTATCAAGTAAGTAAGTAAGTAACCTAACCAACCCAACCAAACTTGCTGATAGTGAAAAAAGTCGAATGAAGGTTAAATTCTGTTCATAAAATACAATTAAGTTATAGGTAGGGATATTGCAATACTATCGATATCAATGCATATTGATATTTTCGTTTCAATATTTCCGATATTGTATCGATATTGGGGTTTCGATAATATCATGATCGGAAGAATTTTGTCGATATCGGTTCTCGATATTGAATTTTCTAAGTTTAGATAAAGTTTTAGGTTTTAGTAATATCAACATACCTCACGGCCGCCTTTAACTCCAGGCCGCAGCCTTCGAAGTGGCAATGTCGCAAGTGGTGTTGTAACAGCTGTTTGGTTTGGAAGCAGCTAATGGTATTTGTGTATTAGTGAAAGATTGGTTACTGGACTATGACATTATTAACTCCACTTAAAATATACAGATCTAGATTTCTAATTCATAATGTTTCGGTTTTCCATTCTGTATGTTTTATTTTCAATATTTTAATAAATTTATGTTCATAAATTTAAATCAATAGAGTGCGAATTAATGAGCTGATGTCACCTGTCTGCCATGTTATCTTTTGGGACGTCTGTCACTAAACAACACCACTTACGCGACTTTGCCAATTGTAACAGGCCGCGGCCTGTGGTTAAAGGTGGCCATGCATAAGTTACCTTCTTATCGAGTTAAGTTATGTACAATATAAAATCCACACTTATATGGGAATAGCTGGTTATATTTTTTGTGGTAGAAGGAACTCAGCTAGTAGCAACTGATTTTTATTGCTGGAGTGTTGGTTGCGCTGTTAGCTGTCACTTGTTAGTTGTCAGAGCTCAAGAGCCGTTGATTATAGCCTACACTAAAGTCCACCAGTGCTAACCTTGTTTAAATTGTTGTAAAAACGGCCATTATTGTTTTCATTGTAACTCCAAAAAATTAGGCTGGTTTTGAAATGCACTGTGTTTAAAGCTCCAAACAACTATGTTTATCGCTTAGATTTGTATTATTAATTTCAAATTTCACTTCCTCTTTGGTCCTTATAAGTAAAAAGTATTAATAATCAAAACTAAAGTGAAAGTAACATATCTGCCAAAGGATTTCCTGACAGAACGCCTAATCAAAAAATCTAAACATGCTCAAGCAAGTCATTAAAAAGTAGATTCCTCCAAAGTAATATCGATATTCGATATTGACAAAAAGTTGTAAAGATATTGAAGCGAATCAAACCGAGCCCTCTATACACTACACCACGAACACAGATGGCTGTACATCGTAACGTTGTAAAGGTGTTCCGGGCCCCCGCAAGGCCGCAACCTGGTGACGTCACTGCCAGACGCCTAATCCACATCCGGTTACCGGACACGTAGGCCTATCCTGTTTTTTTTTTATCTGTTTTGTTTTTTAGCACTGATTTAAAAAATTATTGTCATTTTTTAACCCTTTGAGTGCCAACGTCCGGGGAACCGGACGTTTTTAAAACGAGCCAAAAGTGCCGCCGTCCGTCCGACCGGACGTTTTTAGAACGAGCCAAAAGTGCCATCGTCCGGCTGACCGGACGTTTCGTAATGATCGAACAGTTGTCATAACAACCGAATGGATACTCGGATTCTTTTAACCCATATATTAACATTGAGTTGAAAGTTACTAGATGCGATACATCGATTTTCGTTGGTCGAAATATCGAAAATTCGATTTTTACGAAATTTTAACCTAAAAATCGCCAGATCGCGCTCGGCATTTTTAGCGCGACCTTTGGGAAAAATCATCGGCATTTTTTGAGCGTTACTTTTATTTCTCGCCTGGCACACTAAGGGTTAAGGAAAAGCACCGTTTTCCGGGAAAGCCGAAAAAAACAATTTTTTGCAAAAAAATCATGATGTTGGTAATCTAATTTTGCGAAATTTCACAACGAATTCAATCATAACGATCAATGTTTTTAATTGTGTTTGAAAGTAGGCTATAGGCCTAGGCCTGTGCATACTTTTCGAAGAAGTAGCCTACCTCTGTAAAATAAACCTAAGGCTATGCAAAGTTTGAAATGCTAAATCAAACTACCTATAACTTAAGCCTAGGGGCCTAGATTAGGACAATAAATATGTCAACTTACTTTTCCCTCGACACTCAGCTAGGGCCTAGGCCTAGTCTATTTAATATTCCTTTACCTCCAGCAGCTACCTAGGTAGGCCTACAATACCTTGGAACTTGGCAAACAATTTAGTTAGTTTATGTACTTAATTAACATTTTAATAACTAAGGTATCATCACAAATAAATCAAAATTTCCATTCTCACTAAACTGAAAACTGAAACTGATTCGCAGCCAAACTAACTTACTAACTTGAACTTGAGTTTTTGGCTTGATTCCATAAAATAAAATGGCGAATCTCTTCAATTTAACTTGAAAACACTGCTTAGCGCCAACCGCCAATAAGACTTTTTTCTTTGACATCACACTCACAGACTAAATTTTCTTATACATGCAGCCATGCAGAGCAACTGTGTGAAAAACAAAATTATTGTTTACAAACGTGTTCATTTCATATAATACAGTAGTTATATTTGATTGTTTTATTTTCACTAACAAATTATACATATTATACCTTAATATTTAAGGTAACAATTATCAAATTACTCAAATTAAATCTTTATTAATCGTTGGATCCGAATATTTTAAGAATATAGTGAAAATAAATGTATTATACTATAAGTAACCTTATTGATTTTGTTTATATAAGTAACCCTTAAAATATTTTGTTTCGATATTAATTGTCATAAAAATTTTAGGAAAAATGAAAAATTAAGAGGTTGAGAGTAGAGTCATTAATTGTATATATATATATACAGAATGTCCCACGTAAAGGTGTCTCAAATTGATTACGGAAAAACGGCTTAACATGCGAGGATGAAATGAAATTATTTCCCGCTAAATTGACCCCAAGGAATAACGTACAAATATTTTTTAACTTTTTTCCATACAGGGTGTGCCAAATACTGATGGTCACTAGTTCAAATCTCGGAATTTTCAAACGTAAACATATGTCACGTTGGAGATCATTTTAAAGATATTTAATAGACAAACATTTGGGCTTAAACAGAAATGAATTATCTTTTTCCGTTTCAAAATGGTGGCAATTTATTTGGAAAAGATTAAATATGTTTTTAATACCCTGTGTTTCCTATACTAATTCACTTAGCCTTTCTAAGGTTGAATTATCTTACTCGTTATGATATATTAGCTTAACTGTGATATGCTACAAGTAACGGGTTTTTGAAATAATAAAAAAAAATTGACTTTTGAAAATTTGCAAAATACCCATTGTTCAAAATTTTCAAATAGCAACATATTATGTCAAGTGGCACATCATTTTATAGGTCTTTTATATCCAAACAACTTTGTAATTACACTTACTTTACTACGTATCTCTTTTAGTTTTTGTGTAAATAACAAAAAACCTAATTTTCCATAATGAAATGCATGTTATTTGGGTTTAACGCTAAATTAAATAGGGCCTGTGTGTGTGGGTAATTATATTTTTACGTTATTCATTGACGTTGATTTAGCTGGAAATAATTTTATTTCATCCTTGTGCGTTAAGGCCGGGGCCACACTCATCTTATCTCGCTGATTTTTTTCCCACGGGCGTTACCCGTGGGTTTGAGAGATACATTACGGTATATGGGGCAGGCCACACTAGAGTAAAAACGTCCGTGAACGCGTTTGTCAGTCTCGCTGGTTTTACCAGCGACAAACGGAATTGCACGTGTATTCTCTACTAACATTCCACGGGCGTTAAACGTAAAACTAGTCGCGGGGCATTGCGGCTTATGGGAGTGAACACACCCATCTTATCTCGCTGAATTTTTTCCACGGACGGTTCTAGTTTTAACCTGACTGATTTACTGTGAAGTGAGCGTGGAGGGGGGGAACCGGAACACGGACACGGACGATTTTTATTGCCAATTGCTAGTGTGGCATGCTTTATCAGTCTCGTTGGTTTGCCCGAAAAACCTATCTCGTAAAATCTCGTGCAATTCCGTTTGTCAGTCTCGCTGGTTTTACCAGCGAGACTGACAAACGCGTTCACGGACGTTTTTACTCTAGTGTGGCCTGCCCCATATACCGCAATGTATCTCTCAAACCCACGGGTAACGCCCGTGGAAAAAATTCAGTGAGATAAGATGAGTGTGGCCCCGGCCTAAGACGAGTGTGGCCACGGTCAAATTGTTTCACGTGCGTCACACGTGAAAACGTAAAAAAACAGTCTCGCTGGTTAAAATTTACAAGTGTGGCCCCGGCCTTTAAGCCGTTTTTTCCGTAATCAATGAGACACCTTACGTGGGACACCCTGTATATAAATTTAGATACTTACTTGATACAGTACTAACTTACTTACTTGATACTTGATGTCTTAATCTTTGACCGACATTATCGGATAGATTGCGTAAATTTATTTAATATACAGGCCTACAATTTTTACAAAACTAATATTTACAAACACTACAAAAAATGTGTGGCATGGTGGTTTGGATCAATTAGGTCTAGTTGTATGTCACATAGGTATCAGAATCAGGATGGAAAGAGTGGCTCTTCAAGCCTGGCCAACTAGTACAACGGCCTTTTTACCAGTGCTCTGGTGGGTCTTTTTGAAAGGCTTAATCTTCAAGTCTCTAACACAGTTTTAGGAAGCTTGTTAAAAATCCTGATAGCATACCGTGGGTAGCATTTCAGAGATCTGCTTATAGACGACATTCAAAGTTTACTGCATTCCGTGTCTCATATAAGTATGCTGGTCTCTCCATCTGTCAAAGTCAGTTTCCTTTTCCTTCAGGAGACCAAGGATTTTGTACACATACTGGCTGAACACGGTTAGTACTTAATTGCCATTCTTAAAAAATCGGGCGACAGTGGTCGTAATATACCCCGCGCAAATGTGATCACCCGAAGTGGCCGAAGTGTCATCTTTTGCATTAGTTAGAACCTGTTGCGCAGCTGAACAGTGACCCACAGGACCAAGCCATGTATTAAGCACACTCCCTCCAATTTCGTAGAGTCTCAGCTTGTCCAAAAGTATGCTATGCGATACAACGTCAAAAAAGCTTTACTGAGGTCACACAGATTCAGGCGAACAGACTCATTGTTTTCAAAAGCGTCCGTGATTATTATATGTTGGCAAGGTTGATTAGAGCCGAAGTAGTGGAACGCCCTCTTCTGGAGCCATGTTGTGCGTTTCTCAAAAGAGTGTTTACCTGGTGAGTAATATGTGTCGAAACAACTTAGTCCAAATTTAATACACCGAAGGGTTAATTTATTATTAAACAAATTTAATAATAACCACATGTTTTACGTTCTATTGGATCACAGAACCTGCTACTTAAAAAACCCTAGGGGTCATCAAGCATCCCTACACACTTTAACATAGCACTAAATGAAATTGGGAGATGACTGCCTCCACTCATCATAGTCATGCTTGAGGCATCTTCCCCTCCATAATTGTATCTACAGCGACAGATCCCACAGTCAAAGCGGTCTATTGCCTTTTGAGTCGACGCATGATCAATCACGAAAATTTTCTAGCTTCTATATTGTGGCTTTCAGTTGTCACAATACCAATACATAGATTTACTCACCCAACTGGGAGTCATCAGCTATAGGGTACATCAAAGACATGGTGTCAAGCTATATGTGGTCATCCTCGTTACGACTATGCTTTTGACAATGTATTTTCTTTTGAAGGAGGTGTGATAGACTACAAGAAGTCAAGTACTGAATAAAAAATGACAAAATTCTGCAATCCGTTGATTCTTTGTGTGACGTGCTCCATAGTATACCAGGCTCTCCTACCAGGATATGGTCTCTCCTATAGCACACAACAACCAAGAAACATCCTGCTTTACTTTACCAGAATTTGGAAGGAGCTTCTTTGTTCTTCACCCTAAAATTTGTACAAAGCCCACTTCTCTGACCGCCATACATCATAACATAACTGTTTATCGTTTCGGAAAAGTCAGCCGACTTTACTTACCAGTTACCTAATTAGTTAGTAGTTTAATTTTGGTTAGACAAACTTTAGTTGCGCACTAGCACTGAGTCTTGGTCGCCGGAATATTCCATGGTGAGACAACTGAGCTGATGCAGAAGTTAGGAGGTTAAAAGAGTTCAATATTACAGACCCTCCTTTTAAATTTGGAATAAAGCAAAGCCCCAGCTAGGGTGTAGCAACAGAACCTCCCCCAGGGGCGGCTCCAGGAATAATTTTTGGGTAGGCCTCACAAGGATCAAGAAAGAGTTTGATTGGGGGACAAGGGGTTTGAAGGACTTCCCCACAAAAAAGGGAAATTTTTAAATTTTAATGGAAAATAATTATTTTAAATATTTTCTGTTAATTTACATATAACTAAATTTCTTTATATATTTATAATTTTGAAATATCTACCAAAATTTTGGGTTGGCCCGGTCCTACCTGGCCTGCCCTCTGGAGCCGTCCCTGATCTCCCCAGCTGATACGTAATTGGTGTGGGAATTTTTGGGGCCGTCACATACGCTACTCGTAAATAGTAATAATTACACTCGTAGAAGTTTTTAAGGCACTCCCCAAGGCTCATACCTTAAACTTTCTACTCATGTTGTCAATATTATCTTTACACAATCCTTGCGGAAACTACTACAGTTCAACTGAATACAGCTGTCCAAATTTTGTAAACTATAAAAAAGAGTGCATAAAATTTGTAAAATGTACCCTTAAATAAGAGTGAAACATTTAGTTGACGCCATTGTACTCCAACGTCACCAACACACATCAACTCTTGCTCTATTTTCCCTTATACAGTATCGAGTTATCTTCACTTTAATCTTTGCTTATAGTTATAACACATTCATCACTTCCAACACGACACCTGCTGCCTGGGAGTGTTTGAACTGAGAGTTGCTGACTGGACGCTCAGCAAACTGACCACAGACACTGCCACTTCTAACAGTGTCTACAACTTACTACCAACCAGTAATACAGTGCAACACTGTATTCTTCATTAATCTACACAAATTTTTGACAACAGAAATAAATTTATTTATTTAAATAGTTCTAATCCTGACATAAAGAACCAGCCAAACTTTTCAAAACTGATATAATTTTTAACCTGAACCTCAAGATTCCTGACATAAAGAACCAGCCAAACTTTTCAAAACTGATACAATTTTTGAACCTCAAGATTCCTGACATAAAGAACCAGCCAAACTTTTCAAAACTGATATAATTTTTAACCTGAACCTCAAGACTTCTGACATAAAGAACCAGCCAAACTTTTCAAAACTGATACAATTTTTAACCCGAACCTCAAGATTCCTGACATAAA